TTTCTACCATTATTAAAATATGCATTTAAAAGTAAAATTGCAAATGCTGCTTGATCAATTACTGAATAACCAATTTGATGGCAAATGGCACTGAATGATACAACATTACATTTTTTATAAAATTAGTAATTCTCTGCCAAAAGGCAACATTCGGCCTTCCATTAACAAGTGAAAAAACTTCTGGGAACAAAAAGCTGTAAACATCCCTTGGCCAAGTCTCTGATATGAATATTGTGGTCTTTTGAGGCAAGGACTAAATGGAGAAGGAAATTCTTTTAATTTAAAGTTAAAGATAGCAGCTGAGTGGCAGACACAAGCCCTGCTCCAAGTGTAAGAAAATTCCTAATAAGCCAGGAAGTGCCATAGCTAGCTCCTGCTAAATTCTTCCTGTTTGTTTAGGGCTGATTTCCCTGGAGGTGACAATTGGTATGGTAGCTGTTAGAGTATACATTAAAGAATAAGTCAATAGGGCTTCCCCTGGTGGCACAGCGGTTGATCCCTACCAACAGTGAGGGTCCCACATGGCATGCAGACCTCTCCTGCCATGCCCACTGCTCCCCTCAGGAGTGTATTTCGTCGGTCTGCCTGTTCTGTTCCCTGGTCTGGCTCTGGTGAATTCTCTCACCCTCCCACACTTCTGATTGTACCCAATGCTTGTATAAATAAATCTTTTTTTTTTTTTTAAAAAAGAATAAGTCAATAACAATTTTGTGACTGGTCTAACTAATAACCATGGCAGCACAAATAATGCACTTGGAAATAGTCAATGTTACAACTACTGATATGTCACGTATTAACCATTCTGGAACCAAAAGCTATAACCATCTCTGGCCCTGCCTCTGATAAAATGTTTTTAGTTCCTTAAAACAATAATCAGCAATCTTACAGAAAAAGGAATTTTCCCTTGATTTTTTTTTTAAGATTTATTTATATAAGCACTGGGTACAGTCAGAAGCGCAGGAGGGTGAGAGAATTCACCAGAGCCAGAGCAGGGAGCAGAGCAGGCAGAAGGACCGAAGTACACTGCTGAGGGGGGCAGCGGGCAGCAGGAGAGGTCTGCATGCCATGTGGGATCCTCACCGGTGGTCAGGGAGCAGCCGGGGAATCAAACCAGTGCTGCAGAGGCTGCAGGCAGCTTCACAACCCAGTGCTCAACCGCTGTGCCACTGGGAGGCCCATTTTTCCCTTGATCTTAAAGTTAGATATGGAAACCAGGCTGATGAGATAAGTATAGGAGTAATAGGTAGAAAACTCTTGTGTTAGATTAGGAAAATTCTCCCTTAATTGAGAGATTGGGGCTAGGGAAAAGTCAATGCATCTTCCTTCCCTAGATAACTTCCTGTCCTTTGTTTCCCCTAGCCCTTAGTTAATCATTCTCTATGGCAAACATAGAAATGTTGGTTTCAGTCACATAAGCTTTTTTGTTAGCAATAAAGTGACTGTTTAAGGTAAATGACTACTCTAAGAACACTTTTGTTTAGCAACTGTGCCTTCTTTAAAACAAAGAATAATAAATGTCATGGCCTCTGCAGGAGGGCTGTTCTTGAGAAAGATGTGATGGTTGTTATCTTCCTGCCTTAATGCATATGCTTATGAACTCACAGTTTGCTTGAAATGTACAAATAAAAGGGCTGCTGAGACCCTCAGCAGAATGATGTCTGCACCCTGATCAAGTGTCTGTGTCTCCTCACTCCCCCTCCCCATCATTCCACATCTGCGCCAATGCTCCCCATCCTTCAGGAACCCCTGACACCCAGGCTGCTGTGGTTGGCTCCAGGCATGGCCGGTTTTAAAAAAAATGCCTGGGTTGTTAGTCCTTTTTTACTTGAAAGCGCTTGCTTATGTACTCTCAAGGCTTGCTTGCTCAAGATGTATAAATAAAGAACTGCTGAGACCCTAGGCAGGAGACACTGCACCCTGATCAAGTGTCTGTGTCTCCTCACTCCCCCAGCCCCTCATCCCTCAAGTGGAGATGCTGTCTTTTCCTGCAGGGACCCTGACAGGACAGTTTGCTGGAGCTGGCTTCAGGCAGATGAACTGAAATATTAAAGTCTCACTTCCACTAAATAACGTAAATGGAAAAGAAATGACAAGCAGAGAGAAGACCTACAAGAAAGTGAGTCTATGGACTAGGAGATTCCAAGTAGTTAATAATACAGGTGTCTAGGGCCTCCCCGGTGGCATGGCAGGTTGAGTGCAGTGCTGTGAAGCTGTCCGCAGTCTCTGCAGTCCGGGTTCAATTCCTGGCCGGCCAGGGTGATACCCACATGGCACGGCAGACTTCTGTCTCGCCCGCTGCTCCCCTCAGCAGTGTTTTCTGTCTGTCTGTCTGTTCTGCTCCCTGCTCTGTCTCTGGTGAATTTTCTTACCCTCACACACCTCTGGCCTATACCCCTGTACTTACATAAATAAATCTTAAAAAAAAAAAATACAAGTGTCTTAAAGAATGGAAAATGGAAATGATGAAAAAATTCAAGAAAATCCCTGAGCACTCACAGATAAAATGTGCATGCTGGGTGTCCTACCCAGTTCCTCCTACAGAGGATGAGCAGCCCCATACCGTGACCCACCCAGGGACTTTCAGAAAGAGGCTGAAGAAGGACAGACCTTGGGACCCTCAAGAGACAACTCAGGCCTGGAGGCCAGAAGACCCTGGAGCCAGGCCTGCCCAGTGCTCAGGGGAATCCAGCCCAGAGTCTGTGTCAGGCCCAGGTGAGGGAGGTGCTGGAGGCACAGACATTCACTTCAGCTGTGTGTGGTCTCAGGGGTTACTGTCCACGTCCCTCCTCTAGTGGGCAAAGGACACTAATTGGCAAAGGGGAAACAAAGGTGATGGACACAGAGAACAAGACACAGGAAAATCAACCACATGGGAACAGGGACAGGAGAGAGGCCAAGGGTGAGGTGGTGGATCTGGGCCTTCAGCCCCACCCAGGTGAGCAGGCCCCATGCCCGGGAGGCAGGACTGAGGCTGTGGGACAGGGGTCTGCCTAGGATGAAGTGGGCAGAATAGCTGGTGTGTGTGATATTATAAGCACGAGGCCAGGGCAGCGATGTGGCAGAGGGAGGAACTTGAATCTGTAGCCACCTGCATTCAGGCAACCCGCATCCGGGGAGCTGGCTCTACCCGCTTTGCACTGTGCCTGATAAGCAGCCATGAAAGAACAACAAGCTGCAAGAGAGAACATCTTTGAAATGCAACCTCACTCCACCTCCCACCAAGGCCAGACTCCTCCTATAAAGATTACCCTCATCCCCTGAGAGGCACAACTTCTCTGACCTCTGTGGGGGTCAGTGAACTTTACTGGGGCGCAATAAACTTTTTGCCTGTGAGAAATTTAGCCTGGTTTTCCTTTTCTTTACCGTACCAACCCTTTCATCTTGGTGCTGAACCCGGGGAAAGCTGCGTCCCCTGGCGCTGAGGCCACTTTCCCGTCCAAGGACCTCTCCTCTACATTGCAGATGCCTCACATCCACCACCGACCTTGATTCCTGGGGTAAGTCATCAGTCTGACTCTCCTTCCTAGGAGGCCCTCGCCTCTGGCTATCTGGCTCCTCTCCTGACTCCTTGTTTGGTTGGCTGTCTTGAAACCGTGGGCCCACGTCAGCCGACTCCCTGTTATACCTAGACCTGGATTTGGGGACGCCCATCCAGACTAGGTGCCCGGTTTAAGGCAACAGGTGAGTGGTGGAGACATGGCCCTTATCTGTCTGTCTCCTGTCCTATAGACAACAACCGAGAGGTGGAGACATCCCCCTCACTTGTTTGCCCCCTGCCTGTTGGCCAGAACCTAATCTTGGACGCTTCAGTCCTGGGTCCTCTGTCCTGGGTCTATGCCCCCTGTAGGCCAGGTCAGGCTCATGGGACTCTGCGTCCTGACACTGTGCCCCCTTGGTTGGGAAAAGGAGCTGGGTTAGCCATGGGCTGCAAATTCTAAGCCTGAACCGGCCACCCCTCTGGGATGCCTTCTCTCAAACCTCGATTCGCTGGGGCTTAGGCCAGATATGCGCCTCAGCGCCAATTGGAGAATGGCTCTCACTGGCCGGTATACGGCACCTTCAATTTCTTGGTCCTTACGACCTTAACAACTTCTGTCACCACAATGGAAAATGGTCAGAGATCCCTTATATCCAGGCTTGCTTTCTCTTGCACTGCTGTCCCTCCCTCCTAAAAAGCTGCCACACTTTCCAAGTCCTCCTTGCCAGAGAGTCCTCCCACTCTTCTCCCTCCAGTAACCCCAGCCAGGACAAACAAAAACTGCCCTCTCCGGACCCCCTTTCAGCATTTTCTGATCCTCTAGATTCTCTGTCCTCACCTCCCTCAGCTCCCCAGAGACCCTGCCTTACCTGGAACCTGCTTCAGCCCACCCTCCCTCCATGGCCCCCAACCAATCCAGCCCCCTCCTTCACCTCCTCCTAGTCGCCACACCTGCTCTCATGATCTTCCCCCCTTAGGGAAGTGGCAGGGACTGAGGGAGTAGTTAGGGTCCATGTTCCTTCATCTCTGTCTGATCTCTCTCAAATCGGAAAGCATCTTGGCTCTTTCACTAATGACCCCACTAGCTACATCAAAGAGTTTCATTATCTTACCCAAGCCTATGACCTGACGTGGCATGATGTACAAGTTATCCTCTCTTCCAACCTGACCTATCACGAAAGGAACGTGTTTACCAGTCTGCTCCAGACCATGCAGATCAGGTCCACTTGATCGATGCAGCCATGCTCCCCAGCCCAGAAGCAGTTCCCCTCCAACAGCCGGGTGGGACTCCCAGACTGACACTGTCGCGGGCCGCCAAGGCAGGGCTCACCGAGACCATTTTATTACCTGTCTCCTGGCTGGTATCCAAGAGGTGGCACATAAGGCGGTAAATTTTGATAAGCTTAGGGAGATCACCCAGTCTGCCTCAGAAAACCCAGCAGCCTTTCTTAGCCGCCTTACTGAGGCCCTTCAGCAGAACACTAGGTTAGATCCTGATTCACCTGGAGGTGCCACAGTCCTGGCTGCTCATTTCATATCCCAGTCAGCCCCGGATACCAGAAAAAAGTTTAAAAAAGCTGAGGATGCCCCTCAGGCCCCTATCCAAGACCTGCTGAACATGGCCTTTAAGGTTTTTAACAACCGGGAGTAACAGGACAGGACAGATAGAGACCTGTAGTCGCCAAAAGGCTGAGCTTCAAATTCAGGCCTTGGTGGCTGCCTTGAGACCGTCATGCCCAGCTCCTCCAACCACCGCAGCAACTGCCGCCTGACAGAGGATGACAATGGGCCTCCATCAAGAGCCCCTGGGACCCTGCTTCAAGTGTGGCCAGGAAGGCCACTGGTCCAAACATTGCCCCAAATCACACCCTCCACCAGGACCATGCCCCATCTGTGGTATCCAGGGTCACTGGAAAAGCGACTGTCCCTCCGTGCCTGGCTGTGGTGGGCTAGTCCTTCCGGCCCCTGTGACCTGCCACCGGCGGTCTTGGGTTTGGCAGCTGAGGACTGAAGAGGCCTGGACTCATGGACCCTGATAACTTTCGGGGAGCCCAGGGTATGGTCAAAGTAGCAGGTAAGTCCATTTCCTTTTTGGTTGACACAGAGGCTACCTTCTCTGTCCTCCCCTCCTACCCAGGTCAGACTTATCCTTCCCAAATCTCGGTTATGGGTATTGACAGACAACCCTCTCAGCCTTGGGCTACTGGACCCATCCTTTGTCAAACAGACAGCAAGCCGTTATTTCACTCTTTCTTAGTCATGACTTCTTGCCCCACACCACTCTTGGGTCACAACCTCCTAACCAAACTAGGGGCCACTCTTTCATGGTTCTAAGACCCTAGCGCTGCTCTCATCCTCCCATTGCTCCAAATATATAATCCTCCTCAGGACTACCCGCTGTCTCCTTCCACTGTCGACCTTGTGGTCTGGGATATCTCTACCTTGGTTGTGGTTGCTATTCACTACCAACCAATGCTGATCTCTCTCAAAGACCCCACCTCTTTCCCAGCCCGTCCTCAGTTCCCTATCTCCCTAACCCATCAGTGAGGTCTCAAACCCATCATTCAATGACTCCAGGACAAAGGACTTTGGGTTCCTACTAATTCACCCTGCAACACTCCCATCCTACCTGTTAAAATGCCTGACGGCTCATACCGACTAGTCCAGGATCTGCGCTTTATTAATGACGGGGTGGACCCCATACACCCTGTTATTACTAATCCTTATACGCTTCTCTCACACATACCTCCCTCGACTACTCATTTCTCAGTCCAAGACCTAAAGGATGCCTTCTTTACTATTCCCCTTGACCCAAAATGTTATCATCTTTTTGCCTTTATGTAGGAGGACGCTGACACAAACACACCTCAGCAACTCACCTGGACAGTCCTGCCTCAAGGTTTTAGAGACAGCCCTCACCTCTCAGGACAGGCCCTCGCCATGGATCTAGCAGCCTGTGATCTCAGTCCTGGCACTCTCCTCCAGTATGTAGATGACCTCCTTTTATGCAGCCCTTCACTGGAACTGTCAATCACTCACACTGCATAGCTCTTAAATTTCTTGAGTACTTAGGGATACTGGGTCTTGTCTTCAAAAGCACAGCTCTCCGCCTCTACTGTTACCTACTTGGCCTTAGGGTCACTCCCTAAGGCCAAACAACTCACTGTTGCTATACGCTCCCTCCTGGTCCCTGAAAATGCTGAACAAATTCTGTTCTTTCTGGGTTTGGTGGGATTTTTCCATCACTGGGTTCCTAATTTGCCTTCTTGACCAAACCACTATATGAGGCTGCAAAGGCTACTCCCCAGGGCCCCCTCCGGACACCAACCGAGATGCACAGGGCCTTCCTCCTTTTACAGACAGCCTTGCTCCAGGCTCTGGCCTTAGCTCTCCCAGACCCTGAAAAGCCATTCCGGTTATTCACAGATGAACGACAGGGCGTTGCCCTAGGTGTTCTGGTCCAACCCACCGGGCCAGTCCAATGACCAGTTGCTTATCTCTCCAAACAAATGGATTCAATGGTTAGAGGATGGCAGCCCTGCCTGCACACACTAGCAGCAGCTGCTCTCCTTGCCAGGCAGGCCCTGAAACTCAAACTGGGTCAACTGTAAATGTCAGTTCTCCACATCGGCTCTAGGACTTACTCACCGGGCTCTCTCTCGCCTAATGCCCTCGTGTGTGTTAGACTTTCACACCCTCTTTATCGAAAAACCCTCTGGTCACTTTATCCCAATCTCCTATTTTAAACCCAGCCACTCTGTTACCACAACCTGACTCTCCCCTGTCTTCCCACGCGTGTGCTGAGGTTCTGGAGGAATTGCGGTCACCTTGTCTGGGTCTCACTGACACTCCCCTTCTACATGCAGAAAACATCCTGTTTGCAGATGGCAGCTCCTGTAAAGATCTGCAAGGGAAGCGCAGGGCTGCCTATGCAGTGGTGACTGAACACCAGATCTTCGAGGCAAACTTACTCCCTGAAGGGACCACATCACAAAAAGCTGAGCTTATAGTTCTCACCCAAGCACTTACACTCTCACAGGGAAAAAGGGTCACTATACACACTGACTCTAAATATGCTTTCCTAGTAGCTCATAGCCATGCGGCAATCTGGCAGGAACGTGGTTTTCTGTCCACCAAGGATCTCCTATCATTAACGCTAAACTTATTTTCAAACTGCTCCAGGCCCTCCAGCTACCAGCTGAGGTGGCCATAGTTCACTGCAAGGGACACCAATCAGACTCTTTGGAGGTGACATGAGGAAACAACAAAGTGAATGAAATGGCCAGGGCCTTGACAAGCCCTGGATAGCCTTCTGTCGCACCTGTTCTGTTTCTCTCTTTATGCTCTATCTCACCCCTTTATAAGCCTAATGAATGGACAAATCTTCTTTCCAAGGGTGGCACTGAAGGACAACAAGGTTGGATTACATTTAACAATAAATTGGCTCTCCCCAAACAGCAAGCCTCTGACATTACCCAAAAGGTACACAAGACGCTGCACATTGGGCCACACTCACTGGTTCACTTTGTTCTTTCACCCTTCACTGACTAAGATTGTCTGGGAGACCTGCTCCCGCTGTCAAACTTGCTAGGGGGAATACGTCCTCCCTCCTTTGTAGGTCATCAAATGAGGGGACATCTCCCAGGACAAGACTGGCAAGTCGACTTCACCCACATGAAGAAAATCACAAGAAAATCAGATGCCTTCTTACTATGGTAGACACATCTCTGGGTGGGTGGAGGCCTTTCCCGCCACTAAAGAAACAGCACAGGTGGTAGCTGAAGCCCTAATTAACCACATCATTCCACACTTTGGCCTCCCTAACACTATCCAGTCGGACAACAGACCTGCCTTTATCTCCAAGATAACCCACTAGGTCTCCTCCTCCTTAAGCTTTACCTGGAAACTACACATTCCCTACCGACCTCAATCTTCTGGTAAGGCAGAATGGGTCAACGGTTTAATCAAAGACCACCTAACTAAACTTTCTTCTGAACTCCACAAATCTTGGATTGATTTATTCCCACTAGCCCTAATGCGCATCTGGACCACCCCACCGTGGCCCTCTATTTCTGAGCCCGTTTGAACTAATGTATGGCAGACCTTTTCTCATTAACCAGAACAGAAGGGCTCTGGAGCTCCTAACAGCCGGAAAAGGGGGTACCTGCTTATTCCTCAAAAAAGCTCTCACAATTGGCAAAAGACCTTGAACATCAGGTACATCTCCCCTTTTGCCTGGCTGAGTAGCCCTCTGGCTGCATGGTTACTCTCCCTGGTGGGACCACTAATTCTAATTTTGTTATTTTTTCTCCTTGCCCTTTGTATGCTCCAGTTCATCCAAGCCGCATTCGAGAGATGACTCACACCACCTTCAACCAACTACACCCTACTCAAGCCTCCCCACCAGTGAGCCAGGCCATTGACCTTGTTTTTTGACCTCTCTTCCTCACATTGCTCCACATCAGCAGGAATTAGCCAGAAAGAATCCTTCACCCTTTATCCTATAACTAAAAGGTCAGAATGTAAGGTCATCGATGAGGCAGAGGGAAGAACTTGAAACTGAGACCACCTGCATCCCGGCAACCTGCATCCTGGGAGTTGGCTCTACCTGGTTTGCACTGTGCCTGATAAGCAGCCATGAAAGAACAAGCGGCAAGAGAGAACAACTTTGTAAAGCAACCTTACTCCACCTCCCACCAAGGCCAGACTCCGTCCTATAAAAGAATACCCTGTGAGAAATTTAGCCTGGCTTTCCTTTTCTTTACTGTACCAACCCTTTCAATTGTTATAAGGCAGGGAGAGGGGCAGCCCAGAGCCCGCAAACCTGCCTGCTTTAGATAAGTTCTGCCATCTGCCGCATCAACACAGAACATGTAAGATTTTAATGGGAAGGAACTTTAATACAATTAGTAAACAATACAGGAAAGGCGAAGAATATAGTTTCTAAATTAAGCATCCAAAGTTACCCGTCCCCTCTTGGGTAAAACTCTACCCAAATGGAATTGGCCCAGAGCAAGGCCCCAAAGCCTGCCACAAGTCTAAAGCTACTTCTAGTGGGGACGCACAGAAAAGGGTCAGAAATAGCCAGACAAGTCTTCTAGGAAAAGAGCAAAATCAAAATCAAGATAAAAGCTGCCATTGTCACCTCCCCACGGGTGTCTCACCCACATCTGTGTCCAGTCCACAACCAAGAAGCAAGCACAGTTTCTTCATGTGTCTCTTGGCTCCATGTGCCTGCTCAAGTTCTCCTTCCGGCTCCATCCTGCTTCCTTCCTTCTTCAGCTCTTGAGTTAAATTCCAAACCTCGGATTTCTAGTGAGAGTCCAGGAACAAACAATTTACAAAATAAGCTCTTAATCTGTCTCTTCTCCTGTACACCTCATGGTTCACAAAAATAATTAAAGTCGGGCCTCCCTGGTGGCACAAGGGGTAAGCACCGCACTATGAAGCAATCCGCACCCAATGCAGCATGAGTTTGATCCCCGGCCGGCCAGAGAGGAACCCACATGGCACAGCAGACCTTGCCCGCTGCTCCCCTCAGCAGTGTATTTCAGTTGATCTGCCTGCTCTGTTCCCCACTCTGTCTCTGGTGAATCTTCTCCCCCCCCCCACCCCCGCATCTCTGGTCTGTACCCCAGCTCTTGTATGCATAAATAAAGAAATCTTTAAAAAAAAGTTAAAGCCAACAAGTCACTCTTAAAAATACGAATTTGAGATATGTTTTATCTAAAGGAATTGGTAAATACAGCTTGTAAATTTAATCAATAAAAATGTCTCAGTGTTTTCACAGACAGAATAACTACTTCTTGGGTCTCCCTGGTGGTGCAAGGATTAAAGACAGCTGTCGGGACTATTGCCAGCCTCTGCAGTGCAAGTTGTATCCACAGCTGGCCAGGGTACAGCCAACCTCTCCTGCCTACATGCTGCTCTCCTCTGTTTCAGTAGATCTTCTTGTTCTGCTCCCCACTCTGTCTCTGGTGAATCCTCTCACCTGCCATACTTCTGGCCTGTACCCCAGTTCTTGTATACATAAATAAATAAATCTTTTTTAAAAAATAAAAATAACTACTACTTAAAACTAATACACATGGCCAAAGTTTTAAAATGAGAATCAAAAAGTGTGTCTCTCACTGTCTTATGCCGCTGATGGTTTCATTATAAATGGCACCTATATAAATTCTAAGAAAAAGCCCCAAATTTTGAGATGGTGATCTAAAATTTTGGTAATCAAAAACTAGTTCAAAACTTAATGGTTGATGCTGTCTAGGCAGGGGTTAGGGCAACCTGGAGGACCATTCTTTGTCTTCTGAATTTGTTGTAGGGACTTCATAGTCAAAATATTCAAAAGCCCCACAAACATTTCTATTGAAATAAATAACATACAGAGCACTGCGCAGCTCAGTGATACACAGCTCAAGGAAAAGTTATAAAATGCAAAACATTTCCAAAGTGAATGCATGCGCACAACTATCAGGCAGAAGCATCCAGAAGGTTTCCCTTTGGACCAGTTACTCCTCTACCCTCAAGAGTGATGTCTACTTTGACTTCTAACAGCACAGATTTGTTTGCCCATTTCAAATTTTATGTAGCAGGAATTATTTGCAGCATTCTATAGTATGTCTGGTTCTTTGGTTCAGCATCATGGTTGTGAGATTGCCCCATGCACTTGTGTGTAGGTGTGGGCCCTCCATTCGTATTGCTACAGAGGGCTCCCTGTACAAATGTTCCACAACATCTTCACATATTCTGCTATTGATAGACAGTTGGGGAGTTTCCAGTTTTTAGCCAGTATGCCCATGCTGTTATTCACATTCTAGGGTGTGTCTTTCAGTGAACATATGTCCTTATTCCTCCTGGTTACATACTCAGGAGTTCCAATGCAGAATCACTGGTATTCAAATGATCAATATTGGTAGAAATGGCCATATGGTTTTCCAAAGCAGTTGTATTAAATCACACTCCACTCAATAGAGTAGGAACTTCAAAAGTGGTTTCAGACCCATGTTAGTGTCCTGGGCAAATTTTTAAACTTCTCTTAGCCTGTGTGTTTTCCTCTGTGAAGGGGGACTTCTATAAGGACTCAGAAGAAGGTTTACCCTGTAAGGACTTTATCAGTGAGAGCTTGCTCTTTCCCAGAAAATCTTGGGGTCTTTAGAAATCTTTTTAGGTAACATGTATGATGAAACTCAACAAGTTACATGTAGGGCCACCTTGCCCTGTGCTGTCTTCTTGTATGACTGGCTGTATTCATGCACATGGGACTACTTTTTAATTTAAGTAACATTGTTTTATAACATTATGTAAGTTTCAGGTATGCATCATTACAAATGAACATGTGTATATACTACATAAGTTCACCACTAAAGCTTAAATTTATCCTTTACCATACAGCTGATCATTTTTATCCAACTTGTCCTCACCCTTTCCCCTTCACTTTTGCTAACCATTAAATTGGACTTATAGTTGAAAAAAAAAAAAACACTTAATGGTTGAATTTGAAGCATGCATACCTTATGGTTATAATATTGGGTATCAATACTTTATATTTCACTGTCTTTATTTTAAAAAGGAAGGACTCAGTATTGAGGAAAAAAAGAGTAATTTGACTTAGTCTACATCAGAAAAGATGTTTGCATTTTGATGATTATACCTAAACTTCTCTTGATAAAATGCTTTTCTAGGAAAAGCCCCAAGTGACTTCTTTCTTTCCCCTTGTACTAGCAAAATTTAAAGATGACGCCTATAGCCGAAAAGGGCAAGTTACTTAGCAGTACTGAGTTCCTCACAGGTATTTAGAAAATGTATATGAGACTTTCTTTCCCCTTGTCCTAGCAAAATTTAAAGATGAAGCCTATAGCCAAAAGGGCAAGTTACTTAGCAGTACTGAGTTCCTCACAGGTATTTAGAAAATGTATATGAGATTAAGTCTCTGATGTTTCTTGTTTTTCATCAATCTGTCTAGTACTTGCCTAAGAAAGAAACTTGGCTTATGGGACTATTACAATTATCAACTCTGGAATTAATTTAAAATTACAGCCCTGGGCCTCCCCTAGTGGCGCAGGCAGTTGAGCGCCATGCTGTGGGGCTGTCCACAGCCTCTGCAGTGCTAGTTCGATCCCGGCTGGCCGCTGAGGGTCCCACATGATGCAACAGACCTCTCCTGTCGCGCCCACTGCTCCCCTCTGCTGGAGCCATGCTACTCATGTTGTCTTATTGTAGAGCAACCCCGATACAAAACAGGTTAATAAAAGGTTCATTTACAAGGGAAGGGGAAATGAGGAAATGCACAGCTTAGAGAGAAAAGTGGGAGACAAAGTTTTAAATGAGTCCTACCCTATCCGCTGATCAGAAATCCCAAAATGGCGCTCTGAGAGCTGGCCGCAAGCCAGGAGCCCTGGAGCCAGGAGGCGAGAGATAGCAAGCCCCCCAAGGCCCACGTGTTTGGTTTTTATATCCAACCTGGCTGCCCAACTCCACCCTCAGGTCCCAGCCACCCTCCCTTTGGTGGTGACGGGATTTGTCTTTCCCAATGTCTTGATGGCTTTAGTCTGGAGTGGGGGTGGGGTCCACAAAGTCTGTATGGGATTAGCTCAGGACATCATTTCCCCCTAACAGTCTGACAAGGGTCCAGGCATGGGGCAGATTCCTGAAAAGTCAGGAATCTCATTCGCTGACTCCTGCTAGATTCTCCTCATTTGTTTATGGCTAGTTTCTACCATTGTTAAAATACTCATTTAAAAGTAAAACTGCTAATACTGTATTACTAAATAACCAATTTGATGGCAAATGGCACTGCGTGATACAAATATTTTTTATAAAATTAGTAGTTCTCTGCCAAAAGGCAGTAATTCAAAATTGGCCTTACATTAACAAGTGAAAAAACTTCTGGGAACAAAAGGCTATAAATATCCCTTGGCCAAGTCTTTAATATGGATATGTGGTCTTTTGAGGCAAGGGCTAAATGGAGAAGGAAATTCTTTTACTTTAAAGTTAAAGATAGGGGGTTGCAAAGCTGCTCGCGGTCTCTGTGGCGCTGGTTCAATCCCTGGCTGCTCCCCGGCCACCAGAGGAGGGTCCCACTTGGCCTGCAGACCTCTCCTGCCGCCCGCTGCTCCCCTCAGCAGTGTACTTCGGTCCTTCTGCCTGCTCTGCTCCCCGCTCTGGCTCTGGTGAATTCTCTCACCCTCCCGCGCTTCTGACTGTACCCAGTGCATGTATAAACAAAACAAACAAACAAACAAATAAAACATGCCTCTATTAAAAAAAATTAAAAAAAAAATAAAAATAAAGTTAAAGATAGCATTTGGGTGGCAGATGCAAGCCATGCTCCAAGTATAAGAAATTTCCTCATAAGCCAGGAGGCACCGTAGTCGGCTCCTGCTAAATTCTTCCTGTTTGCTTAGGGCTGATTCCCCTGGAGGTGACAATTGGTAGAGTAGCCCTGAGAGTATGCATTCCAGAATAAGTCAACAGCAATTTTGTGACTGATTGAGTTGATAACCATGGCAGCACAAATAATGCACTTGGAAATAGTCAGTGTTACAACTACTGATATGTCACGTATTAACGATTCTGAGAACCAAAAGCTATAACCAACCCTGGCCCTGCCCCTGATGAAATGTGTGTAGTTCTTTTAAACAACAATCAACAATTTTACAGAAAAATAAATTTTCCCTTGATCTTAAAATTAGATACGGAAACTAGGCTGACGAGATAAGTATAGGAGTAACAGGTAGAAAAACTCTTCTGTTAGATTAGGAAAATTCCTCCCTTAATTGAGAGCTTGGGGCTGGGGAAGAGTCAGTGCATCTTCCCTCCCCCAGGTAACTTCCTGTCCATTTTTTCCCCTAACCTGGTTAATCCTTCACTATGGCAAACATAGAAATGTTAGTTTCAGTCACATAAGTTTTTTGCTAGTAATAAAATGACTGTTTAAGGTGAATGACTATTCTAAGAACACTTTTGTTCAGCAACTGTGCCTTCTTTAAAACAAAGAATAATACAGCGAAATAAGCCAGAAAGAAAAAGAAAAATACCGGATGGTCTCACTCATAGCAGGAATTTAGAAAACATAAATAAGGGACCAGGAAAAAGACTAATTAATACAAAGTAAAAATCAAAATCAACAAGCAACTATAAACCAGAGACACACTACGGGAGTTGGGGGGGAGGAGAGAGGCAGGGAGAGGAAGGACTAGAGTCAAAATAAGGGGGGGGGCAATTGTATGGGGAATATAACCAAAATGAAAATGCATACATTGTGCCAAGATGAAAAATGATCTAAGTATTACATATATATATATATATATATATATATATATATGATCTTTTATGTTTTGTGTTGATGTGGTGGATGGCAGAACCTATTCAGAGCAGGCAGGTTTGGGGACTCTGGGGGGCCCTTTCCCTGCCCTGTAACACCAGCACAAAGGAATGATAG